CGTATTATTCCAAAAGGATAAATATGCTCTGCTTTGGAGCTAAGTAACCATTTTTCAGTAAAGGACCAGGGATGTTTTTGGCAAGTGATTGAGGCTTAGATCCAGAAAGATATTAAGACTTTTTTTTTCAAATCTCCAGAATTGAGTTTAAGATTCAGTGCATGCTGAATTTGGGTAGTGATTTGTTGAATGTCTTGTGCTCCACATGTGCTGCTGTGGTTATCAGTCCCTGAATTTCCTCAGGGGACAAGCAGGGAGGCTTGGGCCACAAAACAATCATTTATGGACAAATTGCAAGAAACTGGGTGGCCTTTCTCCTTCAGTAGTCAGGGTCAAACACAAGTACACACAACTGTGTTTGTGTGTTTCTAGGTCTGTGTTTATGTTTTCCTGAGTGTTGTCTGCTTTATCCAGACCAGAGGGAAAACTTGATCTATACCCAGAGTTCCTCGGGGAGAGCCATTGGGGAGATTTGCCTTGGTTACTAGGCATCTAGATGCCTAGATGTAGAGAAGACACCTGCTTCCCCACATGATCTGGTGATGGCTGGGGACCAAGGGTGTGGGGAGATGTGGCTCTAGCTGCCAGATTCTGCAGGGACACGTGTGACCCTACCATGGAGCTGAGCACCAGGGTTTGCTTGGTGTGTGAGGAAGTGAGGATGGAGGAGATGTGCTTGCTTTTTCCTTCTCTGATAAGCTTTCCCCAGGATCACTCTCTGAGCAGTCAAGAACTGAAGGCAAGTCTTGGGCTGACATGTGGTGTGCAGGGAGCAACAGGTAACACAAAACTCCTGAAGGCATTTCCCCTGGTAGTGTTAGGGTATGAGATCTTTGAACCTGTCTTCTTCTTCTTCTTTTTTTTTTTTTTTAAAGATTTTATTTATTTATTTGACAGAGAGAGACATAGTGAGAGCAGGAACACAAGCAGGGGGAGTGGGAGAGGGAGAAGCAGGCTTCCCGCAGAGCAGGGAGCCCGATGCGGGACTCGATCCCAGGACCCTGGGATCATGACCTGAGCCGAAGGCAGACGCTTAACGACGGAGCCACCCAGGTGCCCTGAACCTGTCTTCTTCTTAGGGCAAGTGCAGGTCCTTCTCACTGGGTTAATGGAGCCTAGGCAGAGTCCTTGATAGATGTGGGTTTGGTCTCTTTCCTTTGAGACCAAAGGCACAAGGGAGGGGGTCAGGTCTTTGAATGGTGTATTTGTGTGTTTCACTATTTCTAGTTACGATGACCAAGTGTTAGTTTTAATATTTAAATGCAGTATGATTGGTTGATTTTTGTTTCTCCTCTTTTTAGACTATTACTAAATAGTGAACATTTGTTGATAAAAGGGGAAGCATGCACTAGTGGGAAGAGTATCAAGTTTGGAGGCAAGAGTTCATTGGACAAACACTTGCTGAGTGTTCATCATATGCCAGAAATTGTTTTAGGCTCAGAAATCAATGGGGAAGACAGACCTCTGTGATTACCATGCAATGTGATGTTAATAGATGTAAGGAGAGAGGAAGGAGGTGGGGTCATGAGGGGAAGGGGGATCAAGTGCCAAGGGCTTCCTGGAAGAGGCAGCACTTGAGAGGAGATTGATGGATGAATAGGGATCAGAAAGTTAAGGGCAGGAAATTGTGTGGTGGGCACAATTTTATGTTCAAAGCAAGACTGGAAGGACCTGAGGCCAGAGAGGTAGGCAGTCAGCTGATCGTGGAGAGCTTTGTGCAGCTTGTTGAGGAGACTGGGCTATTTTAAGATCCTGCCTTGTGTCCTGTTCTGTGTGAAAATTAGGCAAGTATTTCCTCTCTGAGCCTCAGTGTCCTTATTAGTAATAGATGTTAATGATTACCTACCTTTACTTCATGGAATTATAGTGAGACTCAAAAGAGATAGTAATAGCTAACAGTTATTGAACACTCACACAGATTAGCTCATGTAATCCTCACCACAACTTTATGAGATAGGTACTATTGTTAAGCCCATTTTATAGATGAGAAAACAGAGATTAAGAGATGTCTCAGATCATAAAGCTAGTAAGTGGTAGAGTCAGGATTTGAACTGAAGTAGTCTGTCTAAAGAGAACTTCTCAGTGTGTGTGTATGTATGTGTTTATAAGTGCTAACTATTTGTCAAGCTCAAGAGCCAAGTTCTGTTGGCTCGAGGCAAAAGAAATGCATAGCTGTGGACTTGCCCTGTATAGTCTTTGGCTTCTCAAAAATGCCTGTTACCAATGGGTCTGTGTGTCTGGGGAAAAATATTGTGCCTGCTGGTGGATACCGACAGGTAAGCTTCTAACAGTGGAGAGGACCACTTTTCCTCAAGAGGAACATTTAGTGACCTGCAAATGATGAATTCTGGAGTAAAGTGAACCATCTGCCTCTGACAGGGAGGTTTTTCTGTTGATACATCTGATACTGAAGATGGAGGCTCCGCCACTCTCACACCAGTGTCCCCTTGGAAGGGTCAGGGCGGTTCTGCATTTCATTTCCTCCTACATTCTGCCATTGTCCACTGGCTGGCTGAGGAAGTGGCTGCTTTGCACAATCATCCCTGTCCTTTGGGTGGTGAGGAACACCTTTGACTATCCCTGAGCATCTCCTCATTTCTGCCCACCGAAAGAGAAGGGGCAGGCAGCCAATGCCACTGTTGTTCAGACACCGTGTCTCTACAACCATCTCTTCTTTTGAAGGTTGGGTCCTCTTTCTACTACTTTCTCTAGCCCCAGAACTTCATCTCACCGTCTTTTTTACAGTGACAAGAGGCCTTGGCTCTCACACAGTTTTCTGTGGGATGGTTTTCTGTCTTTGATTGGCAAAGGTCACTGGTGACATGCCCGTTACCCAGTCTGGCGAGTGCCCCTTTCTCTGCCCCACTCAGCCTCTGCTCCTTGCGGTGCTTGGCTAGGTGGACAGCTCCCTCTTTCCTGGAATTCTTTCCCCAGCTTTGTGACACACTACTGTTCATTTTCCAGCCTGACTGCTCTTTCTCTCTTCACTTGACAAGCACAATGTCATCTGTTTTCTTCTCTGTGCTTTTTTTGTTTGTTTTTTTAGAGATTTTATTTATTTATTTGACAGAGAGAAGGAGAGAGAGAGAGCACAAGCAGGGGGAGCAGCAGAGAGAGAGGGAGAAGCAGGCTCCACGCTGAGCAGGATCCCGACGCGTGGCTCGATCCCGGGACATGGAGATCATGACCTGAGCTGAAGGCAGTTGCTTAACTGAGCCACCCGGGAGCCCCTTTTCTGTGCTTTTTCTTTGCATTCTTTCGCTTGTTGAGTTCAACCACCCCCAGCTGAGACTCTAGGTTGGCAACTGCCATGTTTCTGGTTCCAGCTACAGCCTCTCTCCTGAGCATTGGTTCCTCCTCTCCACTGGAGTTCTAGACATGTCTTCTGAATTTTCTGCCATGCTATTAGTTTTTACCTTTACCTTTGCCTGTCTTTCTCAGCATTCTTGGGTTGCTGCACAAATTAATTCTGTTTAAGAACTTTGAGTCTTGTTTGATTCATGCATTTCCTGAGGCACGTTGTTACTGCTTCCTTCCCAGTGTTCTTCCCAAATAATATTTATATTTCACCTCCTCTGCTACTTCCAGCCTTCTTTGACTGTTGTGAAGTTTACTGAGAAAGCCCTTTGGCTTATAGTCACTAATCATGCTAAAGTAGCATGATTAAAAAAGTAAAAACACACACAGACACACACATGAGCTCCCCATTACCTACCACATAAAGGACAATCTCAGTCTGACATTTGAGACCTTCACTGATCTGATACTAGCCTCTGTTTTTATTTTTTATTTATTTTTAATTTTTTAAGATTTTGTTTATTTTGAGAGAGTAAGAGAGCACGTGAGCAGGGGGAGGAGCAGGAGGAGAGGGAGAGTATTTTTTTTAAGATTTTACTTATTTATTTATTTGAGAGAGAGAGAACACAAGTGGGGGGAAGGACAGAAAGAGAAGCAGACTCCCTGCTGAGCAAGGAGCCTGATGTGGGGCTCAATCCCAGGACCCTGAATCATGGCTTGAGTCAAAGGCAGATGCCACCCAGGGGCCTGGGAGAGGGAGAATCTTAAGCAGACTCCCCACCCATTGTGGAACCTGATGAGGTTCATTCTCACGAAGCTGTGATCATGACCTGAGCCAAAACCGAGTCCGACGCTTAACTGACTGAGCCACCCAAACCCCTCCAGCCTCTGTTTTTAATTCTTATCTTCTATTACCTCTTTCTATGAACCCTGTCTTCTAGTCTAATCATATTCCCCTTTCCCTCTAGCGGCCTCTGTACTTTGTTCACATAGCTTCCTGTGCCTGGAGTGACACTTTTATTCTCCTTCTTGGGCTCTTCCTAGCCTGTCACTTACTTCCAAATCCTACCTGTCCTTAAAACTGCAGCTCTAGGGGTGCCTGGGTGGCTCAGTCGTTAAGCGTCTGCCTTTGGCTCAGGTCATGATCCCAGGGTCCTTGGATCGAGCCCTGCATCGGGCTCCCTGCTCCGCAGGAAGCCTGCTTCTCCCTCTCCCACTCCCCCTGCTTGTGTTCCTGCTCTCGCTATCTCTCTCTCTGTCAAATAAATAATAAAATCTTTAAAAAAAACACAAAAAACAAACAAACAAAAAAACTGCAGCTCTACGGCAATTCTTACCAGAACTTCCTGGTTCATCACAGCAGGAAGTTTCTTCTCCCTGCCCTACCTGGCCCAGTTTATACCTCTTTTATGGCCATCATCCCATGCCAACTTGTGCTATCACTCTTTACGTACTTCTCTTATCTTTCCTATTGGTCTGAAAATTCTTAAAGGAAGGGGACTAAGGGACTTGTCATTTCCTTAATGCCTGGGGCACAGCAGGCTGTCACCATACAAATATGCTGAATGAATATATTTTGAAGCACTGAATTATGTTCACCGTGGTTTTTTTAAGGATTTCAATACATCAATTGGCTCTGAGAATTTAGTGGTCAGTGGGCGGGTATTAATTAGATATTTGGATTTTTGTTCCCCTGTGTGCAGGAAAGAATTCACACAGCAAGTCTGAGACTGTTTATCCTTAGGCCTGCTTACAAGCTTGATCCTTTACTGGTGTCTGGGAACTTGGATTTGAGAAGGGTTCACACCACTCTAAATGGTAAGAGTAGCTCACTCTACTTAAAAGGTTTGTGCAAACAGTGCAGTTGAAGCTGAGCACCTGCTTTCCTTCTGGGAGTCTGGAATTTGGTTACATGCCAGGCAGGGAGTGTCTATCTGACCAGTCTCCAATAAAAATCCTGGGCACTGAATGTCTAATGAGATCCCTGGTTGGTAACATTTCACACATGTTGTCAGAACTTGTGTATCCTGGGTGACTGTTCTGGGAGAGGACTCTTTGAAGCTTATGCTTGGTTTTCCCCATACTTTACCCCATCTACATTTTTTCTTTGCTGATTATGTTTTGTATTCTTTCAGTGTAACAAATCATAGCCGTATGGCTATATGCTGCCTTATGAGTCCTCTTAATAAAGCATTAAAACCTGGGGCTGCTCTTGGGGATCCCCTCAACACACCATGAAATTGTTATAGGATTTTTGTCCCTTTAGTGTCTGTGGTTCTTGGTCGTGCCGCTGCAAAGAATGAAGAGGTAGACCAGACAAAGAGTGGTGGGCAGCAAAGCAAAGTTTATTGAGCAAGAGTATAAAGCTCCCAGAGAGGGAGGGAGTCCCCAGTGAGTTGCCCCCGGAGTTTCTAAGTTTAGGAGTTTTTATGAGCTCTTTTGCGGAACTTCCTTAAGCAATCAGGATGTGCTGAGTCATGCCAATCAGGGCTTTGGTCACGTATCTATCTACCTATTGGGTTAATGTCCATGTGCTGATGGTCTTTTTTTGCTGACATCTGGGGGCTTAGGTCTTACCTGCCCCTTGCCCAAGATATTGACAAATGCTTTTGTGGTTGTCTTATTTTAGGACGTTTTGCAGAAGTCATTTCTGCAAAGGCTGCAAAGCAGAATGTCAGTGTGGTCCTGTCTAAGCTGCAAAACAGGATGTCAGTGCTGTTTTATCTTAGCTGTCCTGACTCCGTATTTTCTCACTGGGGACTCTGACCCTGACTACCTATCTGTACAACTAACTCCTAGTAAAATGCCACAAATGCAGAGCCAATACTTTTTTTTTCTTTTTAAAGCCAAGACTTCAGAGATATGAAACACTCAGAGAGGTTATTGGTTTTTACATAAGAGGAGCCCAGTTCATAAGACCACATGGTCTTGTGAATGTATATGGTACTCTGCAGAATAAAGCTGAAAGCTTCTTGATTGCCCACTCTAAAATCTGGGTGAGAAAGAGCTATTGGAGAAGATTTTGTTGAATTTTTAAAAATAACATCTCAAGTACTGTCAGAGTCCCAAAAATATCAGTTATCAGAACTAGGCTCTTAGAAAAATTAGGGGCAATATTTGCCTGGGATCCATTCTCATTACTCCTCTAAATCAAGGGTTGAGTTCCTTGGGACATTTTTTCTTGCTGAAAATGAAGAGTGGGCAGAGCATCCAGTCTGTTGGCTTTCTGTTGTGTCAGACATGAGCTAGGTGTGTGGTGTGAATCATTTCCTTTAATCCCCACAAAGACCCTCAAAGGCAGGAATTTTAAGCCATATACTATAGATAAGGAAATGAAACTTAGGGAAGTTAATCTTTGCCGAGAGTCACACAGCTATGAAATAACCCTGGAGCTCAAGCCCAGGTCTGACTCCCAAAGCAGTGCTTTTGGTTTTGGTTTTGTTTTTTTACCTTTGTGCTGCCTGAACACATGCTGTGACTTCATAAAATAATAATTAATCATCATATCACTTCATCATCCTATCACTTTAACAAGTGGCTAAATCTTATCTGGGTCTCTGTCAATGTTAAGTTTTGAGAAGTGTTCGCTGCTGGTGCCCGGCCAGAAGTTTGAGAGGAGGATAGCTTTCAAGTATGCTCCGTACACGTGTGTGCCCTTCCTACCCAGTCCCGGGGTTTCCGGGCGGAGCACTAGCAACCTTCTGGCCTCTGCTCATGTGCCTGCCCAGGGAAGGCCGGGGAGGGTCTGCTCTGTCATTTTGCCAAGTCTCCCTGAAGTCTTCATCTTGCCAGATTTTGGGCAAAAACTTATTTTGGAACAATTGGCTTTATTAAATTTGAAAGAAATGGAGAGTTCATTTTTTAAAAAATTATTATTAATACAACTATAGGGAGGAAAATAGAAACGGAGAGTTGAGGGTGCCCTCTTGTATTCTTGTTAATTTCATCCTGGGAAATGCTTTTATAGAACATTCCTTTAAGATGATCAGCACAGTTCAATAAGGAGACAAGGGTTTGGGTTCCAGAGACGGCAGTGGCAGGTGCTGACCATGAGCAAATAAAATCAGCATCTGGTATGATGCTCGGCTAGGTACACGGTTAACGTTAGCTGAATGAATGCAGTTGGGCGTAAGTATCTTACTTCTCTTGCTGCCCAAAGGATGCAGTTCCCATGAGTGCGCTCTGGCTGAGGAAGGGAATATTCAGTTATTGTTCGATCAGATGTTGAACCTGGGGCCAGGCCATCCATCATCTTTCAGAGAATGAAATGCAAATGGTTTCTCCTTGGTAGGATATAATTTTATTTGGATTACGGAGAATAGATTTAGTGGTGGTGATAGTAACAACAACAGCGAATATATAGTGTTTACTCCACTAGACTAAGTGCTTTCCACATGCAAACTCATCTCATCCTCACCTCACACTTTCAAGTAGGTATTTTGTGGATGAGGAAGCTGACATGCAGAGAGGCTAAGTCGCTTGCCCAAGGTCACAGAGTGAGTGGTAATTCAGAAACATAAATGTGGGTAACCAACAGCCACTTGACCTCTCCCTAGTGGTATTATAAGGAACTAGGAATGTAGGCATTTTCCCCATTTTTTTTTTTAAAGATTTTATTTATTTATTTGAGAGAGAAAGCACATGAGAGGGGGGAGGGTCAGAGGGAGAAGCAGACTCCCTGCCGAGCAGGGAGCCCGATGCGGGACTTGATCCCGGGACTCCAGGATCATGACCTGAGCCGAAGGCAGTCGCCCAACCAACTGAGCCACCCAGGCGCCCATCCCCATTTTTTAAAAATGTTGGTAAAATACACAAAATTTCCCATTCTAACCTTTTCTACGTGTACAGTGGCATCACATTCACAGTTTTGTGCAGCCATCTCCACCATCCATTTCCATAACTCTTCCTGTCACTGGCTAGACCCCAAGACCTGACCTTACTGCCCACCTGCTTGTCACTCACTAACCTTTGTCTTAACGTTTTTCCTTAAACTCTTCTTTCCGGTTTTCCTCTTACCTCAGGCAAATGAAACCTGAAACCACACTTAAGGTGATGCCGACTGCCTTGATGACACCTGCAGGCCAGACCACCCAGACCTTTTGAGCTAAACCCCTGACTCCAATGGCCTGACACCTGGAATGACCGTTAATTACCTTTACCTCATTGTAATACTAAAATCTCTGCCCAGAGAGGAGCCCCGGTCTCATTTACACCACATACAGTATAGGTATAGGCATGCTTCCTTAAGGCACAGGTACGCCCATATGCCTGCCTCTACATAGGATGACAGAGCTTCCCTATCTGAATATTCACCCTAACCCTAAACCAAAGGTACTCGTTCTCTCTCTCTCTCTCTCTCTCTGAGTCATGGCTTTGGAAGCTTCCATGTGATCTCCTTATTTGCTGCAAATAAAGTTTTTTTCTTTGTGTGACAACTCACCTGGTGTAGTTTCTGTGACTCACCAAGGAGTGAACTCACATTGGTTCAGTTACATTTGCACTGAAATTCTATATTCACTAAATAATAATAACCTGTTCTCTCCTTCCCCGAGCCCCTGGCAACCACTGTTCTACTTTCTCTCTCTATGATTTGACGAACCACCTCATATAAGTGGAATCATACAGTATTTCTGTTTTTGTGACTGGTTTATTTCACTTAGTGAAATATACCAAAATTTCCTTCCTTTTTAAGGCTCAGTGATATTCAGTTTTATGTATATACCACATTTTGTTTATCCATTCATCCATCATTGGACACTTGGGTTGCTTTCTTGTGTTAGCGTTTGTGAATAATATTATGAACATGTGTGTACACATGTCTTTGAGACCCTGCTTTCAATTTTTTGGAAATGGGACTACTGGATCATATGGTAATTCAGTTTTTAATTTTTTGAGGATCTGCCTTACTATGTACCACAGCAGCTCTACCATTTTAGACTCCCACCAACAGTGCACAAGGGTTTCAGCTTCTCCACATCCTTGCCAATACTTTGTATTTTCTGGGTTTTTTTTAATAGTAGCCTTTCAAGTGGATGTGAGGTAGATATTTATCCTTTCTGATGGCTGAGTAATATTCCGTTGTATATATGGACCACATTTTTTTTTTTTTTATTTGACAGAGAGAGACAGAGTGAGAGAGGGAACACAAGCAGGGGGAGGGGAGAGGGAGAAGCAGGCTTCCCACTGAGCAGGGAGCCCGATGCGGGGCTCGATCCCAGGACCCTGGGATCATGACCCGAACCGAAGGCAGACGCTTAACGACTGAGCCACCCAGGTGCGCCTGGACCACATCTTCTTTATCCATTCGTCTGTTGAAGGGCATCTCGACTCCTTCCACAGTTTGGCTATTGTGGACATTGCTGCTATGACCCCAGGAAACAAACTCAGGGGTTCAGAGGGGAGTGGCGTGGGGGGAGGGGTAACAGGGTGATGGGCATTAAGGAGGGCATGTGTTGTGATGAGCACTGGGTGTTATACACAACTAATGAATCATGGAACACTGCATCCAAAACTAATGATGCATACTGAACATAATAAAAAAATAAAATTAAAAAAACAAATAGATGTGAGGTGATATCTTGTAGTTTTAATTTAAACTTTCTCAAGTGATTAGTGATGTTGAGTATTTTTCATGTGTTTATTGGCCATTTGTAGGTCTTGTTTGGAGAAATGTCCCTTCAAGTCCTTTGCTCACTTTGAATCGGGGTTTGTTGTTGTTGAATTTTAGGAGTTATCTATATATCCTGGATATTAATCCCCTATCAGATACATGATTTTCAGTATTTTCTCCCATTTTGTGGGTTGCCTTTTTACTCTGT